GAGGCCAGCCTGGTCTACAGAGTGAGTTCCAGGATAGGCTCCAAAAATACACAGAGAAACCCTGTCTCAAAAAACAAACAAACAAAAATAAAAAAAAAAAAACCTTAAGACTAAGACATGTAGCAAATTAAGTGACAAGATCACTTTTAACATCTAGTTAGAAACAATGGAAATGATCCAAACGATAATGTGTATTGTCAAGGAGGATAAGGACTAGTAAACATTAAGTTACCCAAGCAACAAACTGAAGCACAACCATTTTGTTAAAACTCACCATCACCATCAAACACCGTTTGAACAGTTTCCCCCTTCCAATCACATGTTTTTACAAGCAGGAAGTTTTTAACTAATCAACTGTAAGCACATGGTTACGAGGCTAAAAACACTCCAGAGCAGGCAGCAACCTCTAATTCTCTCTCTCTCTCTCTGCTCCAAAGGCCAAAAAGCAATTAAATGTCTAGAATGCAAGGTGGGAAAATAAGAGGCCTGGAGGGGCCATAAATTCCGATGTCAGTTTCTCAGTAATTGCCAACAGAACACACATGCACCGGGGTGTAACCAAGAGGAAAGTGGCCCCCAGCTCCTCACTCAAGCAAACACTGTGCAGGTCTGGACTGGGGCGTTGAGTGGGAAGCTGATACACAACCCCGTTCCCCCATCTTCTGGCGTCCTCGGTTGTTTGGTCAACTTCTCGGGAGTCCTTTAACTGATGGAGAAGTCTGGAGGCAGCTTCCTCCAGGCTGTCTGGCTTGCAAAGGGCTGAAGGGAAGCAGCTGGGTTTAAATGCAAATGTTTGGAGCAGTGCTGGACTTGATACTGAGGGTCTGTTTGCGGAAGAAACTCCTTGCTGTGCTTTGGAGGGTTTGTTTCCTCTTTCTTGTACTTGGGATTTGAACTCAGGGCCTCAAGCATGCCAGGCAAGAACTCTTACCAGTGAGATACGTTTTGTTTTAGAATGGATATTGGTAGGGAGTTAGAAGAGAGGAGTCGAGACCTCAAGTATTCCCCAGATGAGGTGTTTTTTGTTTTTGTTTTTAAGATTTATTTTATTTTTAAGTGTGTGTGTGTGTGTGTGTGTGTGTGTGTGTGTGTGCACATGCGTGCGTGTGTCAGGAGAAGCCAGAAGAAGGTGTATCTCTCTTAGAACTGGAGTTACAGACACCTGTGAGCTGCCTGACATGGGTGAGTGCTGGGAATCAAAATTGGGTCCTCAGCAGTAGGAACTCTGACCCCCTAAGCCACCCCTCCAGCCCCTCCCCCGATGAGTTCTAATAGCCTACTTTCTTGCCATTGACCACAAACAACTGGGAAGAAGAGGCTCAGAGCATGAGCCTTCATTCTAGTGGCAAATAACTCTTTATCACCCCAGCTGGCTCCTGGGCTGTCACCAGAGGTGAACGGGCAGAATCTTGAGCTGGGTGTTGCTCTCACTGAAGGGTGTAGGAGGCCAATAAGGCCAGGGTGTCTCCCATCAGGGAGCAAGGGCAACAAACTCATAAACACACTGAGGAATGTGAAGGCCGGGATGGATCTAAAACCAGCCATTGAAGGTGGGACCTAGAAATTAACTTTGGATTGCAGATCGCGGTGGAGGGTGGGAATTTTGGGTCAGGACCAGTTCTGTGATTTCAGCACATGTCATTTATAGCAAGGATTAGCAGCCTGGACCTGCTGTATTTGTCTTGAGAAACTTAGGAGTCTCAGCTCTACTTAGAAGGCTTACCTCTAAAGCAATCCCAAGCTGTACAGAGCATATAAATGAAGAAGGTCTACATAGTTCCTTGAGAAAGTCTGCATTGTTAAAAAACAATCTGGGGTGCTGGAGAGATGGCTCAGCAGTTAAGAGCACTGACTGCTCTTCCAGAGGCCCCAGGTTCAATTCCCAGCACCCACATGGCAGCTCACATTTGTCTGTAACACTAGTTCCAGGACTTCTGACACTTTCACATAGACATAAATGCAGGCAAAACACCACTGAACATTAAAAAAATAATAAATTGTATGTATATATACATACACATACATACACACACACAACACACACACACACACACACACACACACATACATATCTGGGATCCAACATTCTGCATGATTAAAAAGCTATCTTTGAGAGGTCAGATAACTGACTGGTGGTTGTAATACACTCTGTGTCTGTGTGTGTGTGTGTGTGTGTTCATGTGTACATTCACATGTATATGTGTGGTATATGTATATATATGGGTGTGTATACATATGTGTGCACATGTCTGGAGGCCAGAACTTAACATTAGGTATCTTCCTTGATCAATCTCCTGCTGTGGGATGTTCTGTATGCTGTGAATGTGTTCCTCTGATTGGTTGATAAATTAAAAGCTGATTGGCCAGTAGCCAGGCAGGAAGTATAGGCAGGGCAAATAGACAAGGAGAATTCTGGGAACAGGAAGGCTGAGTCAGGAGACGCCATCCCGCCATCCAGGGAGCAGCATGTAATGGTGCACAGGTCAAGCCACGGAAAATGTGGTGACATATAGATCAACAGAAATGGGCTGAGTTTAAGTGTAAGAGCTAGTCAGTAGTAGGCCTGAGCTAATGGCAAGCAGTTTTAATTAATATAAGCTTCTGAGTGATTATTTTATATGTGGCTGCAGGGCCCATGGACCAGAGAAAACTTTAGCTACACTTGCCACCTTATTTTTTGAAGTAGGGCCTCTCACTGAACTTGGAGCACATCTATTCAGCTACAATGTCTGGCCTGGGAGCTACAGGGATCATCTTGTGTCTACCCCACCAGTGCTGGAGTTACAGATGCCAGCAACCACACATTTTTTATGTGGATACTGGGGATCTGAACTCTCAGGTCCCCAGGCTTGTGCAGTAGGCACTTTATGGACTGCACCATCTCCAAGCCACGGACTTGTTATTTAAAACAAACAAACTCAGACAGCAGCTTAGACAACATGGCTTTGCACATCATCTGTCCCAAATCAAATGAGGCTCACAAAGCTGGAGGTTTTGACCTCAGGGAAGAGAGCCCACCTAGAGATGAGTAAACTGAGCCCTAGAGAGGGACAGAAGGCCACACTAAGGGAACCTGGGTCTGGTATGGAAGCAGAAGCAATGAGCTCCCAGGCCGGGGGACTTCTCCAGCCCAATGCAGACCTTTGCCTCCTCCAGCACTGAGCTGTGGGGCTGTGTTTGGAGGCCATGGGCAACAGAGTGGTTCATTTCTTCTCTTATCTAACTAGTCTGGTTTGAGCTTAGCAGCATCAATCAGACTCATGTGGATGGAAGGGACACCGGGTAGCACAAAAAGAAACCGACAGACAGCCATCAAAGTATTTGAAGAAAATGACCCACAAGGTTAACCACAAAACAGGTTGAATGGTAGAATGATGGCCAATTGTTTTCTTCTTCATACACTTCTCCCAAACTTTCTCAACTTAAAGGATACCAGTCGATACGTTAAATACAAAGAAATTGCATTGATTCACGTAGACCTGTACCTTGTTTATTGTAGCTGACTTGTCAACATCCATCTCTACCCAAATCATTGGTGTGAACCTGTGAACCTGCCAGGTCTGCCTACGTTCCCTGTCAGTGATTGGGATGGGCTGGGCTATGTGACCATCCCTGGCCAAGATGCCTTGGAAGGGGCAGCCTAATGGGGGCAGGGCAACTTCAAAAACTTTCCAGAAGTGAGTGTCCTATTTTCTTCCTCCAAACGCTGTCATGTGTACAGAAGAGACCCAATCTTGAGACTGAAGAAAGAAAAAGTCCAAAGAGATACAGAAAACCGGGCCCAGAGCCCAGTCATACCCTGCCCAGAACCCCCACACACACACACACACCTCCAGACTCATCTCCAGGGAGACACACTTCTTTCTGAGTTGGCGGTTCTCTTATGAGTAGCCAGTAACACCCGCATTTATACAGTTGCCCAAACACATACATTATGTGTGTCTGGTATCTTAATGCAAAACCACCCAAGAGCCTCCACACCACACCCAGCAGGGGCCCTGGGTCTCATGACCCCTCTGCCTGTAAGGAACAGCCACCCAAGAGAAGCTTGTTGAAGAAATTATACTTATGCCTTCAGCATCATCACAAAGAAATGGAGAAACATTTCCCTCCCAAATAAGACTTTCAAATGCCTACTTAACATTCCCATCCACGCTTCCGACCCCACCCTCCTATCTGCTTCAAAGGACAGAAAAACAAAATATCCCCAGTAGCTCACGTCTTTGATGTAGTTCATCTCTTCTTTCAGCTGATTGGTGGACCAGCCATACACAACCATTTCCTTCTGCTGGTTGGGATCTGATCTTCGCACCACACCATAGACAACACCCTGAGGAAGCTTCCTGGTGGACTCTCCATTGCTTAGTTCTGGAGGCTAGGAGAAGGCAGGAAGTGAGAAAAAGAATATAAGTCTCACGAACACAGTGATAATAATGGCCACCCGTGTATGATTAAGCAGACTGTAACCAGCCCTGGGTGCCTGGACAGCAGAAGTAAGGGGCAGAATGCCAGCGTGGCGTCTGCTGACTACCCGGCATGGGCTGGGGAGGCTTGCATCCTGGAGAAAGCATCAGTTGCTCACTTCTATCAAGTCCTGGTCCACTATCCTTGTTGGTAAGAACCTACATACCTCTTTTTTCCCAAGGGGACATCCGTTTCTGATCCTCACAAAGATGCCAGAGGAATTATGTCATGAAAACCTTGCACTGAGTTGACACTGGTTTCTGCCTTATACCAGTTCCTCTGATGACTTTAACTCCCTCACCAACCACGTGGCCTGAAATGCGGGAAGTTGAGGTTGACTGTCATCGGGGAGCGAAACTATCCGATGAGGGCAGGGCTGACCCTGCAGCCAGTCTCTGAGGGGAAGAGGTGGGGTTGGACAGAACCTGTTGTGTCCATTTATGAAATACTTCTGGAAAGCCAAGCAGAGGTGGTGTGACTCTAGCCCTGAAGAATCTCTCACTCTGCTTAGCTGGTCTTTAATCCAGCACTTAAAGCTTGAATCATCAGTAAGCTGTAACTCAAAAGGACCATGTCCAAATCTCACACAGCTTTGTAGGATGAAGGCTTCAGGAAGCAGGAAAAGGTTAAAAAAAAAAAGTGTTTTTGACCACCAAGAAAATTCCTTCCAATGTTTAATGTTCACAACCACTCACCAACACAGCCTTTTCCTTCTGCTTCATAGCTGAGGGCATTGGAGTTCAAAGGGGCTAAATGGCTTGCGTGTGACCGCACATTCACATTTAAACTAATCCTGTCTGGTCTTAAGCATGGCTGTTCCTCATGCTGAGGGTTTGTTAGATGTGAGGAGATGGAGTAGGGACCTCCTCAAACACGAAGGGACCAAGACAAAGGAAGAAAAATGAGGGAGAGAGACAGAGACAGAAAAGGGACAAGGGCTGATGAAATGGTGCAGCCAGTAAAAGTCCTTGCCACCAAGCTCAATGACCTGAGTTTGATCCTCTGGATCTACATGGTGGAAGGTGAGAACTAACTCCTACAAGTTGTTTTCTGACCTCCATGTGGGCACTGTGGATCACTAGCTGTGGGCTTGCACATGCACACGCACAGAGAGGTAGGGGGACTCAAAGAATAAAAAAAAAAAAAGTAACAATATTTTTTAAAGAAGTAACTTGAGAGAGAGAGAGAGAGAGAGAGAGAGAGAGAATAGAATATAAGACCCAGGCTGAGACTTCACAGATAAGTGGCTTCCTCACAGCTCTCCCCGGAGCTGACCCGGTATTTAGTCTACACCACAGAACTGTACAGGCAAGTCCCCTCCAACACTGACTTTTCTCTCTTTTTTTTTTGTTTCTGAGACAGGGTCTCACTCCATAGTCTTGGCTGTCCTGGAACTCACTCGGCAGACCAGGCTGAACTCACAGAGATCCACCTGCTTCTGCTTCCCAAATGCTGGGACTAAAGGCGTGTGCCACCACACTGGACTCTACCAACTTTTTCAATTACCTTTTCGTAGACTTTTCCCAGAAAACTGTTTAAAATGCAAAGCTGTAATTTGCGTTTTAAATTATTTACTGTCACAAAATAAAGACGACCGAAAACATTCAAAGTTTGTAAAGTCAAAAAAAATAAAACCCAGAAAGATTCATGACAAATTGCTAACCACTTCTGAGGTGGGAACAGTGAAACACATTGGAGATGCTGGAGTACAAAAGGGCAGCTTTCTTTTTTATTCACTTATTTATTTTTCTTCGTTCCCTGCATTATTTGTGAGTACTTTTACCACAAGGACTTTTAAAGAAGGGAGGGAACACACCCAATGCTTTTTACTATTCTGTACAAAGTTGGGAAGAGGTGTGATGTGAGGATCTGGGACACTTGTGTTTGGCTTCTGGTAACAGCTTGAATCTGGGCCCCAGGCACCCAGATCCCATGGGTGCTGCTGCTACCCTTGAAATCTGTTTGTCCGTTTCAATGACTGGGCTGCTAAGTGGTTCGTGGTGGAGGGACACACTGGCGTTCAGATCTCCCCAATGGTGGAGGGACACACTGGCATTCACATACCCCCAATTTGCTTGACTGGTAATTAGGAAAAGGAAAAGCTCCCATGAAACTCCCCACAGACCAGGAAACAGAAGCTGTTCTTCCGGCCCTGGGCCCTACCCAGTTCCTGAAAAACTGGCTGTGGACAACACAGGTCTCTGAGGAGACACAGAGCACAGCAGGGTGCCCAGGTGACTGGTGGCCAGACCCAGAGAATGCCACCACCTGGGAGATGCGAACAGTCTCAGCACTGAGCAGTCTGAGGCAGGGAGACTGCCCTGAGTTTGAGATGAACTGGGGTGGCATAGTGAGTTCAGGCCTGGTTGGGCTACAGAGTGAGCCTCTGTCTCAACAGAGAAAAGGATGCGTGTGCATTGGAAGATACCTAAGACACACCAAGTGAAAAAGAATAGTTCTTACATTCCTGCTTTTATTTTAAGAATGTGTGTGGAAAATTTCTATGCTGCGTGGTGGTGGTGGTGGTGGCGCACACCTTTAATGCCAGCACTCAGGAGGCAGAGGCAGGTGGATCTCTGTGAGTTCGAGGCCAGCCTGGTCTAGGACAGCCAGGGCTACACAGAGAAACCCTGTCTCAAAAAACAAAACAAACAAAAAAAAGGAAAAGAAAGAAAATTTCTAAAAAGATACGATCCAAACCTTTGGTGACAATCTGCTCCGTGGGAACAGGAGGCCATCTTTTCCTCTGTGTCCTTTTATGGCCTATTGTTGTTGCTGAATCATTGTTATGTAAACTTAAAAAAAAAGATTTATTTTGGGGGTGGACACAAAGTCCCACCCCTAGGAGCTATTGGCATTTGATAACAACCGTTGAGAGTCCTTTTCTTTAAGGGTGTGACCCCTGGTAGGTGGACCACACTCCAGGGGACAGCCCCACACCCAGGAATATTTGGACAGCACAAACTGGCCTGGATTGTTGTCTTTAAGAAAGGAGGCCATGAAGTTGGGTAGACGGTGAAGTGGGGGTGGGCATGGGAGGAGGTGGAGGAGAGGTGAATATGATACAAATACATTGTATGAAATTCTCAAACAGGTTAATAAAGTATTGGTTTTAAAGACCATTTTTTAGTTATCTGTATATGTGTGTAACTGTGTAGGGGTACATGTTCATGTGAGCACGGGTGTCCACAGAACCTAAAAGAGGGTGTCAGATCTCCTGGAGTTAGAATGGCAGGCAGGTTGTGAACCACCCAATATGGATGCTGGGAACTGAACTCAGGCCCTCTGCAAGAGCAGAAAATGTTCTTAACCATTAAGCCATCTCCCCAGCCCCCCTTTATTTCCACTTTCAAAAGGAAACTAAAAATGATTAAAATGGCATCTAAATAAAAGCCCTCCAGAAAAGGGCCTGGTCACAGGGCTCCGCTGAGAAGCAGGGCAAGCGGGCGGCATGGTGCTCCTTAGGGAAGAGGCCGGACCACACAGGGAAGGGGCACTCGCCATGAAAGAGAAAGAGGAAGGCGTTCGCTGCACAGTGATTTTTATTAGTCCTCACAACCCTACTGTGTAAACATTACTGGTTCATCTGGGGTGAGCATTCAGGTTCCTGTCTCTGTCTTTCCAAATGTGAGCTCCTCCACGCACACTGGCCCCAGCCAGGGAAGAATCAGCGGGGAACTGGACCTCGCATGGCTATGTGGTTTAAAGGGGCCCAGCCATCAAGTGCCAGAACCGTTTGGAAGAATAAGGCCAGAGATAGGGGCTCCCCACCTCCCCTCCCCTGCCTCATTCTTCTACCAACCCCCCTCCCCTCTGCCACACTGCTAAGCTGAGATGTCTCTTTCTCCAGAGTGACTTCGTTAACCCTTCAGAAGTTAGGCTCCCCATGCCCACGACCACAGCCATGCCTGTAACTGTGGGTGTCCTCAGGACCAGAGGCCTGCTCCCCTGGCAGCCACCAGTCCCAAGACATCTAGGCCTCATCTGTCTTCTTTCCCACTCTAACCGCCGCAGCCAGCAGTGATGGACACACTGGGACTCTCAGCAAATATTTACTGAATGAACAGGAGCCTTAGAAGCCCAGAAGAGGCTCTGGGAATATCGACTCGAACATGCAAATAGAGTCCAGCTGAAGGAAATGCCCTTTGTCCCTCTTAGAGCAAGGGACACACAGCAGCCCGGAGCCTCGGCCACAACATGAAACCCTGGGAAGTCCCGAGACATCATGTTTTGAAAGTACCAGCATGCTCGAGGTCCAGTGCTAGACGACACAGAACAACATAGTATGTTTGCAAATGTTTAAAGTTCATTTCTTTTCTCTTAAAAGATCCCTTTCAGGCATGACGAACATTACTGTGGTAATACTAAAACGTAGTGTTTACCTTTGAGAGAAGCATACTGAAATATTTATGACGTATCTATTTATTTATGCAGGTGAAGGAAGTGGACAGGATGTAGACGAGGCAGGCCTGGCCACGGGAGGAGGGCTGCTGAGGCCGAGTCAAAGGCCAGTAAGTAGCTTGTTCCACATTTCAGTCCCCTTTGGCTTACGTTTCACACTCTCCACAGTTAGAAGAGCTTTTGCAAAGCTCTAGAGTGCGGCTTTACATCTTTAAAAAACAGGTTTTCAATGATACATGGAGGCCGGCAAGATGGCTTGGCTGGGGGGGAAGGTGCGTGCTACCTAAATGGGACCCCAAGTTCTGTCCCGGGGACCCACAACGTAGGAGGAAATGACACGCACACTTACACACACAGAGTAAAATAGATGTAGAAAACAAAAACATATCTAAAATATGTTTGAGGCTGGAGAGATGGCTCAGTGGTTAAGAGTACTACTCTTTCAGAGGACTCTAGTTTGGTTACCAGTACCTACCCATGTTGGGAAGTTCATAACCACCTGTAACTCCA